ATGTAAAATTAATGATCCTTTCTTTCCTACTTAGGGCTTTTAACACTGAATTCTACTTTGATTGGTACTAATATTACCTTTACTTTTTTCTCCACCCATACATTTGTTTTTAACTTTTCTTAATCATATTGTACAGTTGCATCTTTCAAACTGCATAAATCAAGATGTTCTCCTTTAGGTCAACCTGACCATCTCCCTCAGGCAATGGGAGAAGTTAGTCTATCTATTGCTAGTGTAAAGACCTGATTCTTTTCTTATGATTTGTATTGTATTCTGCTTTTCCTATCCTAACTTTAATTGGGTTGATTAATCCAATTGGTTTAATTGATTCAATTCCATTCTTCTTGATTATTTGGAAGACGAACTGGACTATTTTGGTGCAGTAGTGGTTATGTTGCCTTTTCTTGTGCATATACTATCACGTGTTTCCCTAATATTATTTGATAAATAAGATGCTAGTTATTTTGTTACCAAGGAACAGTTTCCCTCCGCTTACTCAACCTCAGGAAAGTGGTTCTTAGATCACCATCTACCGCTTTTTACCCTGCCTGCCATCTCTCCTGTCAGGAGTGAAATGTCCTTTTTGTTTAGTGGTTGGTCCTGCAAATGTTATCTCATTCTCCTTCAGGTTCAAGTGCCACAGACAAGAGGTCTGATGTTTGTCTAATTTCTTTTCCTTTCCTAATAATTTCTCTTCTTTTTCTAATGTCTGAAAGTTTGTTAGTATTTTTTTGTCCTTAGAATCCGTGCATTTTATTAAGATATTCTTGTGTCTACATCTTATTAGTCTATGCTTCAACTTTGTCCCTTCATTCTTCAAACTCAAGTCTTTCTTTGGAGAAAGTATTCTGCTATTCACGTAATGTTGTAGCTTTGTCATATCTTCCTGTCTTCTTTTGGGCAAGCAAAATAAACAAAAAACTAAATTTTTGACTCTATCCTTCACTATTTTTTAACAGAGCTTTGTGTCACTTAATGATGAGTGTATTTCTGCAAAATGAGTCATTTGGCAACTTTGTCAATATGTGAATGTTATAGAGTATACTTACATAAATCTAGGTGGTATAGACTACTATACAACTAGGATACAAGATTATGTGTTTGCATGTGTATGTGTGCGTGTGTGTGTGTGTGTGTGTGTGTATGGTCTGCTTCTCCTAGGACTATGATGAGCAAATTAACACAAGATTAATTCAAACCCAAGAAAAATGATGAAATCAAGCTCAATCATAAATATGAACTGTATGAATTTGCTCCAGGGATAACACAGCAGACTGTGTTACAGTAAACTTTTTTTGTAAGTAGCAGTACAACTTCAAATGATGAAATGTAAATTGTAGTAAGTCTATAAACTAGTAATAGTTTTCGTTTAGTACCATCTAAAATAATGATGAAATGTGTAGTATAAACATATAAACTAGCAAGTTATTTATTACCATTTTGAAGTATTATATACAATACTTATTTGTATGTGTTATTATATAATACTTGTATGTGCAGCACAGTAGCTTTGTTTATAGTAGCTGTACAGTCAGCTTCCCATTGTTGAGATACAATAGTTAACACTCACAACTTGAAGGAGGAGAGGTTTAATTTGGTTCATGATTTCAGGACATTCAGTCCATGGTCTTCTGGTTCTAAAGCAGAATCATGGTGGAAGGTTGTGGGAGAGCAAAGCTACTTAGTTGAAGGGTAATAGGATGCAGAGCTGGGGAATAGTGCCAGAGAAGAAGGAATCAGAGACCATGCATAGTATTTACATTCATGTCTCCAGGAGCCATCCTGACATACCCAGAAGTATGCTTTACTAACCCCTTGGGTGGGTCCCCAGCCAATCAAACTGATAGTCCGGCTTGACTGTCACACCAGAATTAACATAAACATTTGAGGATTAGATGAAAACTTTATGATAATTATGATGTCATTTGGTTACAGGAATATTTTAGCTCTGTTATAATCTTACAAGACACTACTGTGGTCAGTTGTTGAATGCAATGTTATGAAGTGGATAACTCAGTGAATATATATTTTTGTCTCTTGATGCTTTGGCTTTGTTTTTTTTTTCTTACATTTGCTTGTCCAACTCAGTAATTTTACTCTTAACAGCCATTTGTTCTTAAAACTTATTTACTAAATTGTTTATTTGAGAAATAATGGCCTTTGATTTCCCTTCATAAACTGTTTTTGATTCTTTAATTGCAACTACTCTTACTGTAATATGTATATTGTTACATCCTTATTTGTTTTTAATAGCAATTCTATTTTTCTAGACGTGTATTTCTGTTTGCTCTGAATACTCTTACTGTCTCTGGCTCTACTATAGTTTGAAAAAATATTCACTCATTCATTCAGTTCTTTCTTACTAGGACTCAGGTGTGGCCATTGGCTACCTGAATTGGTGAAAGCCAGGAGTTGATACAGGAAGGTAATGTGGGTCCTACATTGCGGATGGGTGGTGTAGCAATATACATGTGGCCAGGCTTTGAGAAAGGTTTCTTTCCCAGAACTAAAGCCTTCTGTCCCAGTTTTTCATACACTCTGCAGGGCTTGGAACAACCCTGGCACTGCTACTCCTTAGCTGAGGAGACCAGGTCTGCTCATGCAGCTGGAACCTACTGAGTTCTGTGACCCATCAGTCTTCCCAGCACCCCAGGAGTTACAATCCTTGTGCTGAGATTCCCTCTGGGGTTGGCCTGCTGTGGGCTGTTGCTCAACCTTTCTTTTTCCTCTTCTGGTGACCCCCCTCAGAGTGGGGCCTCGCTGCCACCCGGCAGTCCTTTCACTCCACGGGCCCAGCTTGCCCGGAGCTGGGAGTATAAGTGTAAAGAAGCTCAACCATATTTCCCCAATCCTGAGAGGCCTACTTTAAAATGGTTACATGATAAATCGACAAAATCTTAGCAAAATCCAGAGTTTTCTAGTCTTTTAAATCAGAAGACGTAATCAGTAAAGGCTAGGCTGCTTTTTTTTTTTGACTTAATGTACATTGGCGAAGAGAACGCAAATGCCAAATGATGTTTTTTCCTTTCACATGTGTGAGACGGGGAGGAACATTCATTGTAAAAGTTAAACAGAGTGGCAGCTTGCTTTGGCTGACGTGTAAGAGTTCTTGACTGGGCTGCTTTCTTTTCTTCCATAATAAGTAGTTAATAGAAATTCACTGACCTGAAATGCAGACTTAATTTACCACGTATATGAAGTTGATTTAACAGGAGTGGAATGTGGTGGAACAATAGCCTCCCTCTCTCCCTACCTCTTGGTGATCCTCCGACATTCTTTGGAAAGAAAATCAGATTTAACACCATGTAGAACCTTTGTGATTTTGAATAATTGGGCTATGTTTGAAAAAAGTATTTAATCAATGGCCATCATCTGTTTATTTGAAAAAACTTCTGGGCTGGGGGAAGTGGCATTTATCTTTAAAATTTTCATTTCTATGAAAGACTGAAAGGCCTCAGTACTGTATAAAGGGAAAACCAAAAATCCTGAATTGCTTCTTTCTTTCCTGGCATGTTCTTTATTTAGAAAATCCTTAATTAATTTTGTGTGAAAGCAGACGGCCAGAGGATTTAAGGAAGCAGAAAAACATCTTGAATTCCCTCCTGCTTGCAAAGGGGGGAAAGTAAAGATGGTAAACTGATGAAAAGAAGTCATTTTGAAGTCTACCGTTATAATGAGATGTAAATAACAACAGCAACAAATCCGGATCATTTAAGAAAGTTTGCACGGGTTTTTCCATTTGAAATGCACTTTTTTCCTATTTTGTTCTCTTGAGACATTAGCCATTTTAAAAGCATGATATTGGAACTAACCCAGCATCGCTTTTAATTAGCACAGAAATGCTAATTATACTTTTTCTGTGCGATGTTTAATGCTGGCTGTCAGGGCTCTGCAGTTTTTATATCAACTGCAGCGAGGAATGCAAGATTGCCAGACCTCACTTTAAAGGATAAAGGCCAATACATCCAAACTGATTATTATTTTTAAGCTATAGGGATTTGGTAAAAGGTGTATGAGAACAATACTATCAGTGTGAAAAAGTAGACTTTTGATTCGTGCTAGACACTAGCATATTATCCAGTATCTGTGCTCTATGCAGATCAGCTTTCTTACCACTGAATCAATGACAACATACATACATCTTGATTTAGGAAGAAAGGTATTTCATAAAATAATCTCATTTGAAAAGCAAATAATTATACTTTATCCATTTTTTTTTGTTTTTTTTTTTTTTTGTTTTGTTTTTGTCCGGTACCGGGAACCGAACTCACGACCTTGCACTTGCCAGGCAGGCGCTTTGCCGCTGAGCTAAATCCCCAGCCCCTTACTTTATCCATTTTATAGATTTACAGTTTTGCATTTTGGATTTTCTGGGAGCCCATTTGTGTCCTTGGTATGATATATAAATATTAAAAGACGGTAGTTTTATCCTTCAGTAAAGCCTGTTGGCAAGTATACATTTTAATTGTTTATTTCAGTTCTTAAAGAGAATTTGACTTGATTTCCTGCAATATTCAAACACATAACCTGCCTTTCTACCCTCAAAACAAAACACATCCAAACTATAAAATTTAAGCCTTACATTTGGTCAGTGTTTGTACTGGAAACAGGATGAGAGTCTACATGGTGTTTGAGGTCGATATTCATCATATCATTCTGGGATTCCATGTAGCAAAAGGGATTAATTTTATATTAAATTACTTCTTTAAAAAGTATTGATAGAGAAAGTGCTAAAGTCACCCTAACTTTTGGGAGAAAAAAATTCAACAAAACTTTGTATTTGAGGGGGAGCAGATTATTTTTCTCCAACTACAGTAAATCCTCTGTAACTTTAACTCATGCGGACAAAGTGCTAAATTATTTTTTCAAATCTGAATTGTAAAATTTATAAAAGAAATTGACTCTGATTGCTTTTGGTACAGCTAGCTTCCTGCATAATAACACTAACAGTGCAGTGGTGACCCCTGTCATATTTATTGCCTAGCTCTGATGGTCCTGCACTGGGCTATGTGCTTTGCATCATAACCACATGGAGGAAAGCCACGATTATCTCCGCCTGATAATCCAGGACAATATGGCTCCAGACATTATGGACCTTACCCAACGTTTCTCAGCTCACAAATGGTGAGGTTACTTGATATGCAGAGCTATTTAGTGCTAAGCCTCCTGTTACTATTGTACTGGATGATAAAATTTCGTGTGCATTTAGTGATATAGTAAAAAAATCCTAAGGAAGTTTTTCTCATTTTGAAATCAGGATCAATATGATCCTGTGATCTGTGTGCCTCAGTGTGGAACTAAACTGACCAGTGCTCATAATTATACTCTATGATAGTTATTATCATCATCCTCCCCATTTTACAATTGGAAGTACTGAGGACGGGCTGGTTGAGTAACTTATCTAAAGGCACCCAGTTCAGCTAGAACAGAACCAGGATTCAAACTCTGATACCCCTGTTCCTAAAGTGGTAATTTTTCCTTCTTACTCTCCCACAGGGTTTTTGCTTTTTTTGTTAAGTTACCTATGTGTAATATAGGGATAATGGCTGCCCTATTTACAGGGCAAGGAGAGATAGATGAGATCATGAATGTAAAACTGCTGAAAAAAGGAAAGCAAAATGGAATAGAAGGTGTTGGTATTTATTGGCACAAAATTCCAAAATTGAGTATCTAGGGGTGTAGCTCAATGATAGAGCAAGTTCCATCCCAAACACTGAAAAAAAATTGCAAAATGGATACTTATTTATTGAACTTATTTGATGTTTTTCAAAAACTAATTAGAGAATTGCTACCTTGAAAGAGGATCAAAATAAAGTTATTAGAAAAGTCAAGTTTAAGCAAAAGAGGACAACAGGGACACAAATAATGGTAAGCCTTCTAATACCCAAGGCAGGGGTAAATCAAACTACATCGTTATATTAATAAAAAAGAAAACAGAATATTTGTTAGGAGACAGAAACTTTTCCTCCTACCACTATGTTTTAAAAGAAATTTCTCACACTGGAGCTTCTAGAGTGAGTGTAATGATAAATGATTCCTGGAGTAAGGAATTTGATTGATTACAGTATCATCGTTTCTGCTTTTTGTCTTCTTGTCGTGGTAAAGACATTAAGGATGCATGAAGCCCTCAGATTTGGCCAGCATGAGGAAAATATGTAGAATATAAAGATATAGGTAATTCAAGACTAGATAATCAGCACTTAAGTTGTCAGAAATGGACTATATTTCAAAAGAAGACCATCAAAGACACCAGGTAGATCTGCCATTGTGCTGACTCTGCTAACCAGCAGGGCCCTTAGCACTGATGTCACGTGAGGTGTGATGTCCGATGTGTAATTACATGATTAGATGTGGTTTCTGCTCCTGGACCCAATTTTAAATGAGACAGCACGTGGCTATAGGGGATGGATCAGAATCCAGATAAGGGAGACAACTATGCACTGTTGAATATTTAGAAAATATAGTAAAAATGGACAAAAGAAAGTCAATATCAATTTCATGACCTTTATTACTTTTTGGCATATATTTCCTTCCAGTCTCTCATTCTCACTTCTCTGTAGATAGAAATGTATGTATAGATGTGACATAAATATGACATTCACATGATATGCATATATACCTGTGCTCATATGCACTTATTCAGAGCTTCATAGGCTTTTTGTCCATTCGTCAAGGTCTCAGAGCTTGTAGCAAAGATGGGACTCAGACCTATGTTTGCCAGATACTAAAGTCTGTTCTCTTAATCACCATTCTACCTCCTGAATGTATCAAATTTTTAGACACAAATTATTTTATGAAGGTGGAAGCATGTATTATTTAGAACTTTGTACCCTGCTTTTCTCTTCCCCATCACCTTCTAGTGAGAGCGATGTTTCAGATCATTAATACTTTTTCTAAAACATGATTTTTGATATTAATATTTTATCATAGACCACCATTTATGTAACCACTCCATGGTGTATCACTCCATCAGAAACCTTCAGGTTTCTGATGTTTACAAGTTGTCTCTCATCACAAAAAAGGAGAGGGTAGAAAGCTCTGTTCATGTCGGGGAAGACTTTATGGAATAGAAGGCACCTGGGCTAAGTCTTGAAGTTGGGGCAGGGGTTGACAAATCATACACATACGGCAACAGACTTAGCACAGTTAGGAAACAACACAAGTCTGGAGGACTAGAATTTGATTAGTGTGGCAATATAGTATAATAGTTGAGATCAGACATTGTTTTCAGACATACCCTGTCTGAGTTCTGATATTGGCTTTAGCACTTATTAGCTGTGTGAGTTTGGGTAATTTGCTTGGTCTTTCCAAGGCTGGGTTTGCTTATCTGTAAAATGAAGATTGTAATAAGGTTGTCAGGAGGGCACAGAGAGTTCTTTGTATAGAACCTGATGGTGGAAAGAACTCAAGAAATATTACTTTTCTTTATTAGAGTTAGTGTGATTATCAGCCACCTTAAGATATGTAATGGAAAGTGTCAAGAGACAGAACAGAAGCAGGAGAAATTCTGGAGAGTCTTAAATATTCTTTTAAGCAGCTTGATCTTTATACTATATGTAGTCAGGCCTTGATCGATTTCAACGTAGGAACTACTGTGATCAGATTTGAGTTGAATTGCATGTGAGAGAGAAAACCTATTTTCATGGCAGCTGGGAAGGGGGAAGGGGTGAGGAAGCAGAGGGGAGCAGAGGAGAGCAGAGGAGAGGAGAGGAGAACAAAGGAGAGCAGAAGAGAGCAGAGGAGAGCAGAGGAGAGCAGAGGAGAGGAGAGGAAGGGCTGGGATCCTAATATCCCCTCCAAGGGCATGCCCCCAGTGACCTTCCTTTCATTAGGCCATACCTGCTGATGTTTCCACCACCACCAATAGCATCACAGAGCACAAGCCGGGACCTATCTTTTAACACTCGGGGCTTTAAGGGACACTCCAGATTCAAATGATAGCACTGGTCCTTGCAATTTTTTTAAAAATAGCATTTCAGTTTTTCTCTGCATAACAAATCCTCCCTCATGCACAGTCTCGTTCTTGTGCTCCTTCATTTAAAGTCTGTGAAGATGACCCAACACTTCCATATTCCTGGCCACGGTGACCGGCTCAAGAGTAGGCCCTGAACGAAAATGATCACACCTGGCCAGGACTCTTGCGGAAATAATTACAGTGGAACCTGTTTGATTGGAGCTAAAGCTGCAAGGAGATAAACTCTAAAAAGGAGGCACTCATGGAAAAGAGCCGAGAAGAGAAAATAGGATAATTTATACGCTTGCATAGCTGGGTCCAGTTATTCTTAGAGATAGAATCTCTTCATAGACTTTGCAAGGAAATGATTCCATAAAGTATGTTCTCTGGTCAAGTCAGCTTCTGTTGCTATTCTCTCATTTGCATCTAAAATTTCAATACGTTTCAGCAAATGTAGGCAATTCCCAGATTTTTGCCTTAGGTAACTGGGTGGATGAGCCAATACGTGCAGCACAGGGGAATCACTGACTTGAGAGAAAATGATGGCTTCGGTTTGGAGCCTGACAAATTGGGATTACCTGTGAAGCCATGAGTGAAAATATCGGGTGGCTACTTTGATAAATGAGCCTGAAGCTTGAAAGGTAAATCAGACAGAGAAATAGGTTTGGGTTCACTAGGCTTTGTGGTTAGGAAAGAGTGGTTTTGGTTTTGAACTTCTTTTCATGGTCGACACTGTTCCCATGGCGGGATGGCGGGATGTAACTGTACACCATAGGGAGAAGGGTAGGCAAGTAAATAGCATGGGTGGGATTGTTTTGGAGCTGACTATAGTTTTTGTACATTGATGCTCTTGTGCATAATACTATTAACGTAACAGTGACACTGTCAAGTAATTAAGGTATTCTTTTCATCTCAAGGAGAAAACACACATATGCTTTTGATATTATCCCATGATATTTTTGAAAGGGGAGAGGGAATGCAATAACGCATTCAATGTTTTCATAAAGTAAAAAAAAAAAATTACCACAAGCTTAACTGCTTTTAGAGTAGATATAAATAGATGAGCTGGCCCAAAATGATATTTATCAGTTTTGTATTTTGTAATAAAATAGCTATTTAATTTGGAGAAGACAAACAGGGTGTATTTGCCCTCATCCCCAAACTGACTGTCCAGATGATCACCATGGACAGGGTAACTGAGTGTCACAGACATTTGTCCCCAGGTGTTTGGAATCTGAATCATCTGGGGAGTTTTATGTTTGAAAGTTTTTTATTATTTTAAAGAGAAAAGAACAAAAACAAAATAACAAAAACAAAGACCAACACAAAGCAACACAAAAACTATGAAAACAATACAGAATTTCAAAACAAGGTGATAGGAAATCAACAAAATTTGTTGTATTACTTATTGTTATCTTCAGAGTAGTTGTTCAGATTGCCAGATATAGGCATGCCAGTGTTTTTTAAATCTATAGGCATTTGGATCCCACTCCCAAGTCTGTATGTCAAAGAACCTGTTTGTTGAATCCCAGAACAGTGTTGGGTATGTTTGGGAATGATTTTGTGGTAGTAAAAGACATAGGCATAGTCCCATTTCTAGGCATGGTTGAGAGAGATAGCTATTTGAATTCTTTGGACTGAAGTTTCCTTCTTGGTGAACTGAGAGGCTTGAAGTGATACTTCTTGCAATGCTTTCTTGGTCTAAATGCACTTTCATTTAGTTATGGAACCAGCTTGGTTTTCCATTTTTATGTGGACTTATATACATCATACTTCATTAAGGAGCTAAAAGAGATATAATTCACACCAGTGTTTCAGCTATCTGCAAGGTGACAGTTTTAGGGGTGTCTCAGTTTAGAGATATGTAACAGTAATGCAAGTGAGCTCTGTTGTATATAATTCAATTTGTAAGCATGCATCCACCGCTTAAAGTTATTTTCTACACACTTAAAATGATAAAATGGCAAGCAGAATGTTCTTTAGCTTTCTGTTTTGCTATTGTATGTTGTGCTATTCCACTGGAGGAAGTATAGCTGTTCCCCCCTTCTTTTTTCCTTTGAAAATCAAGCTCATGCAAAGTGACAGGTTTAGAACATATTTCTAAATCAAAGAATGACCATTATAGGACTTGATCATACCAGTTACTTCTCTAACTACCATTTATTTGTGC